TGTAGCAGTACAAAGTTTCCAAGAAGGTAGGGGCGGCGACATCTAGGGAGGATATTCTTCTCGAAATGTTTGATGTAAAACCGCCAGCGCTCACCTTCAGTCCCGGGTCCCACGAAGAAAATATTGGTCTTTCCATTCCAGGTCCCGGTCCATACCATCAACCCGCTCCTTGACGACTGCGGTGAAGATGATGTCCTAGACCGTAGCGACGTTGTCGGAGCTGCTCGATGTTGGAGGTCTTCCAGATTGAGAGTACTGGTCTCCAGGTAGCTACCCATGGGTGACTCCACACTAGAAGTTTCGCAGCTGTTTGGAGGTGACATGAATTCCAAAGGTCTTCTCCAGTCAGGCTGCGAGATGACTTCATATTTTGGTGTACATGAAGGTGATGGGCGAGAGCCAGCTCCTGCTTATAGAGGAACATCTTGGGTATCTTCCGCCCTGGTACTCGTATCCACGTCCTCTGTCTGGGCAGCGAAAACTTTGCTGATATGTGACTCGGTCGAAGTGACTTTTTTTGGCCCCCTGTCCTGTACAGCCCCATAAAAATGAAAAGCTAAGCAACATGTATCAAAACGTACAGTATGAAATGGAAAGCATTGAAAGAGTAGCGACCGATGCTCCTGCGAGGCATGGAATCATAATAGCGCAGGTTGCCGTCATGCATGCAAACGTGATCGCCACGGACTTCGCCATTTCACCCTGAAAAATTCAAATGTCATTCACATTCAAAGCTGTGAGGGGGCAATACTATGGTCCATACATTTGCATTTGATTTATAAGCTCTCACCACGACTTCCCACCCAAGAAGAGTGAGGCTGAAGAGCATACCACACACTATGGGAAGTTTTCAAATACGAACTTCTTAAAGTTTTCTGGTTTGATACGATCTCTGGTTCCATCCTACTTAGCCGATAACGTCGCAATCGGTCGGGGCGGTGTCAGGAAGGGGGGGGGTTTGAGCCCGCGTCCGGCTGCCTTACTCTACTAAAGGTGATCGGTTAGTGATCGATTTTGGAAGAAAACAACATATGGTGGACACACCGCGGTGAGTTCTTTAAAAACTCTTGAAACTGCTCCAAATGATTGTGAAGTTATCAAATGCACTTCAACAAGAACGAAAGAAGTAACTAGCGGAAGTGCAGAATGACACCCCTCCCTACTGCGGTTGAACACGAGCCCCCTTCTGTTTTTACCACGGATTGCAAGCTCTGAGCGCCTCTTCCAAGGATACTGATAAGTGCCGAGAGCTTTTTCTACAGCTCATATTTCGTTTTCAAAGCACAGGCTAGCTTCTAAGTTTGAAAGTCCTACCTTGACAGTAATAATGATATCGTAGATTGTGCTGTCATAGTCGAAAAGACTTGTTTGGAATTGTGGATACTCATCGATTAGCCCTCTGATCCTATCGATTTGCATCGCTCTCTTGTTCCAATCCAATTCACCTCAAACACTTTTTTTCAATTTAAAAGCAGCGGGGAAGGGGGGGGGGTGATAGTGCGACCTCCTTGAAATTCATGCTCTGATGTGACCCCTCTCCATAATCATCGAGCGATCATCTTACCGGAATTCTCCGGAATTACGTCCACTAAGTGGAGGGAGTATATGGCGCCCAATCCAGCGACCAAATACACCCCATACACCCCACCCTCCCCTTGGGGATCCCCAAAGGGCGATGTAGCCTTATGGGAAAGCGTGACTTTATTTCTTAACAACTGTACGAAACTCTATTGCATGAAACCTGCTAGGTGATTTGATTTGATAAAAGTTAATAAGCAGCGCTAGGAAGCAAGTGCCACAAATAGTGCGTTCCGCTGTGAATAATCGTATGGCGTGTTGCGCGTCTGTGGCGTACTTTGCTAGACTTCTGAAAAAGAACATCTAGCTATTATCTTTCTAACTTCACTTCCGCGCATTCCCACCTGGCCATCCTTCCACAGCGAGCCTGAACAAGTCGCCAGTAATCCTTTGGCTCATGCGGGCTCCAGCACCCTCGCCACTCATTGTGGAGCTACAAAATGGGAAGAATCTCTGAGATAACGGTCAGAAGTACCTCCACATAGAAGGGACTTCACGAATCAGGGAATCGCTGGATGTACCTTCAAATGTCTCCCGTAGGACATAATGCACCATAAATTATTCCATATCGCGGGGGCTACCGAGTGACCGTTGCAAGGTGCGTGTACCAAACTGGTTACTGTAAGAACTTTGCACTTACCGCGGCAGATGATAATGTAGTTCATCCATACATCATCAATGGTGCCACTGAAAGGAAAGCTATAATTTTCGATAGATCGGTAAGAGTCGCTAAGAACTTACTTGTTATTTTTGTAATGAATAACTGTCTCATCTCCAATATTTCGATTGGAAAGGAACCTAGGAAGATCGTCGTAGGTGAGATTGGTGATGTTCTGAGCTTCTCCCCACTGAAAGCACATTCGTGAAGACCTGCAGGACAACATGGCACTTTTGACCGATCTTAGGGCAGTGCAGGGCGTCCCGACAACGGGGCGTACTCCTGCACCAACCCTCCACGCGTCTCCGCGAAGGGCCAGACGGAAAAGTGGCAGAGGAGTTTCTGCCATTTCCCGTCTAGACTCTCGCAACCATAGCGGCCACGCCCCACACTTCCCAGATATGTGCACCGGATAGGCATAGACCGAACCTCGATGAAGTATCGAAGCATTAGCTGCGTACGTTCAGGTCCGTAGCATCCATCCCCATGCTCAAGTCGTCCAATCATTTCGAAGAATTTCTTTTTCCCAGCCTCATCCTCCAATGCTGGCACCAAGCTGATGAAATTGATCGGATAATACTGCAAAATGAGTGTTTCTGAAGGCCACTAAGGGTGATACAGGAGCCAAGACCTTCAAAACCAACCTCACTTTGAATTTTTTCGAATTTCCCAAATGACGGGGTGAGAATGGAATCAGTTGGGAAGGTTTTTGTCGGATCAAATACGGTTTTCATCCCGTTAATACCGATAAACGCAAGACAATAGATGACTAAAGTTGTAGCTATGACGATGGCTCGGCCAAGTGGGGAAAGTAGAACCTTGGTATAGCTCTCCCATGAAACGAGGCTGAAAAAAAATCAGTAACTGGGATAGATACTTTACTGAAAAGGGGCAAGATCGGTAACAAACTTGTCCAGCAATTCGTGCTTGACTTCTCTTTCCTTGTAGAATATCGCTATCATTGACCCGAAAATAAGGAACTCGAAGATGAAATCCAGAAAGATGGCAATACAAGTGCATAGGCAGAAAGCGCTCATCTAAAACACTAACCATAAATCGCTTTTTGCAAAGTCCTGCTTATCGAAAATCTCCACGATGACCGTATGGGCGGAGACTTGCATCCATTCGGCCTCCCTCATTAGCGCGCCCTCCCTCTTCATCGCATCCGGAAGAGTGATGAACCAATGAGAAAGGCACAACAGCTGCGAGTCCTCCCCTTCGTTTATCGTGGAATGTGTCCTTGGGAAAAGGTGGCTCACGCACCTGCGGTGATGGCGATACGATCCCGATGCCAAAGGCAAGAGTGTTCGTAGCAGACGTGATTGCCATTGATGGCCCAACTGCGTGCACAACCATACGCATACGTTCTTTCTTTTCCAGATGACCATGATTGCGCCATGAATGCAGCAGAAGGAAGGCATCGTCGACACCTGAATAAGACGCTTAAGGTAGGATAGATAAGACGCTCAAAAAAAGGTGGGGATTTTCCATTTCCGGAAAAAACCGAGTAATCTGGTCGGAATCTAAGGGATGGTAGGTGGAAAGTTTCAGAATTTCGCAAAAAAAAGTTTTACAACGGCAGGACATGCCTGGCCTAGCACATAACACCTTCATTTCTGACACCAACTTAGTGCACCTTTGAAATACTAAAATTAGGCCCCATTCTGTGCCTTAACTCTCAAAACGACCATTTACTTGCCCCGAAAGTATAAAATAAATAGTTTTATTTCTTGTTTTCTCCCTGAATTTGGAAAATATAAAAGCTTACCAATTCCCATGACCAGAAATGGTGTGATACACATGATGGAATTGAATGGGAACTTTAACCATCCCAGTATAGCAAAAGTGGTAGCTGTGGCAATCGCAGGAGATGCCAGAGCGCCAAGTATCAGAATTGGCTGAATATGAAGTTAGTTGAGTCTAATATGGTTGTGGTGCTACACTTTATATCCAAGAGATGGAAAGGGCGTGGCTCTGCACATCATTCGGGCGTGCCGCGGTTGCGTTTCTGGCTGAATATGTCTGACTCTAATTTAAGACAGATTGTTGTCAACGTGCTTCTTCCAGTCAGAAGACCAGAGTGACTTTCTTATGATGGGAAATGTTGCCACGGAAACAAACAGCATTCTACGTCACCCTCGATTCGGCAAGCAGCCAGCGCCTCCCACATTCTGAGTGGTGCATGCTTAGCTAAGCAAGCAAGCACTTACCTGACATATCAAACTAATGTGATGGAAAGCGACTGCCATGAAGACGGTCATCAGAAACACACCCAAACCGAATAAACCTGCCGTTTGAGCAGAACCACGCAACACTTCCGCATTTGCAATCTGAACTGTTACTTGAATTAAACTGCAGCAGTTCACTTCAGCAGCAGCTTGAGACACAGGCGTGATCGCAGCTAAAACCCACAATCCTTCTTGGTGCGGGCGGAGTCAAGCCCACAATTATGTCTACCCCATTCTTGCACTCCTCCTTCCCAAAGAGTAAGGATGGGGTACAATAGGAAAGATGGGATACACGCTGGTAAGAAAGAAAAAAAGCACAAAGGTAGACTGTCTCCGCCCATACTGCGCATGTGTGGAACAGTGGCGGTTGTGAAATGTGGTTCAAATGTGCAGGAGTAGGTCCAAAATCAGTGGTTGTGAATGTGTCCAAATGTTGAGGAGTAGGTCCAAAATCAAAATTTTCATTCGGTCGAGTACAATAGAGACCACTTCCAGGCATTTCCGGGAGATAAACTTTGGGGGGGGGGTGCTTCAATAGCACTTGCAAAGTTTTTTTTGGTCGTGGCACGAACGAGATTCCCATCACTTTTTCTCTCCTAAGACAGGTTTCTCAACGGCTAGAAGAAAAGACATTTGGTTTTTTTTCTTCAAACATTTCAGCCGTTGGGCGTGTCTGAGGGTGGGCTGAGATTCCGTTTTTCACTCATAGTGGTCGCCTTCCAGTCTCTACAACTGATGGAGCCACGCTGAACCCAGCCCCCCCCTGATGCCTCGACATTCAAAGCAAACAACACTGCATAGGAACTGGTCCTACAGCAAGGACTTAAAAAAAACAGTCTGCTCGGATCGCACGAGCGGAGACCGCCAACGATTGCAACTCTCATAAACGCAAGACGTTAGTGTGATACGTTTCGGAAAAATGATCAAGATTTGTTCCGATTTCCGAATTCCGACGCGGGGATCACCCTACAAGCACGTTTGTGGCGTACTCAAGCTCTAACATATGATGCTAATTATAGGAGCGCTTTAGGGTTTGCTTATGTGACAATCTGAACACATTCGAAGTTTGTTTTGCAAGTTGTAACCATAATCGAGGCGGAGGTGATGTAGTGACAGGTGGCGACGCTTACCAACCG